TTGCATGGTAAGTGAACATTCCCCAAGGGGTGGTGGCTGCCAGCGGCAGTGAAACAGCTAAACAAATAAAACTGTCCACTCTATCATTTTTCAATTCTTAAATGAAAAGTGCTCCTGTACCATCAGCTGCAGCTATTGATAATGTTCAAAACAGAGACACAATGGACTTAAAGCACCAACCACAACACAAGCAGACAGACAGTAAAGCACAGCTAGAGATATACCACACCAAGACAAAAAAAAACGTGGTCACCTGATTTCGGAGCAGATTTGATTGGGCAACGATATGCGCCACAAGCTTCCCCTGGCACCACTGAGGCGCAGCTTTCTCAAGCAACGAGACAGGCTAGGGAGGAAAAAAACAAACAAAACAAGCACACAGAAAGGTTACAGCAAGAGCCACAGCTTGGTGAGTCAGGGCTGTGGGGCAGGGGAGGTAAAAGATGGAAGATGGCAAGGTAAAAGAGGTGGAAGAAAATTTTATTAATCAACAGCACCGAGCCACAGATACACCAGCTTCTCGTGGAACATCCCAGAAACAGTTAAACAAGAGCAGGTCAGCTGCAAAGAACAGGTTAATAAGACAGAAGAGCAGTTAGTCACAGCAAGTTACCAATCTCAACAATGCAATACGTGGAAACACAAGCAGGAAGGTTGCAAGTCAAAATTCCCAAATGACCCAGAAAACCATACTGGCAGTGTGCTTGCATACAGGAGAGAGCAATGGGTGTGCAAATTGAATGACCCAATAAGTGCTTTGCAGGAAAGCCTCTCCATGGGTGGTATAAGCAGGTCAGGATTAGCATTAGTCCAGGACAAATATGTAACCACTAAGCCACTAGTTACAACACTTTTAGACAATGGCTGATTTGGGAATGGGAGGTGAGGATGATGGGGGTGTAAATACAATGGCAGGCTCTTACACATCCTGACAGTTGACTTAACAGTAGCCCAGCTTAAGGGGAACAAGGGCAAAGGATGGGAAAGGAAATAAACAAAACACTGCAAATCTAGCACATTTCCTTAGTGCTGACCCCTGGTTAGGATAATATTCCACATTTACAAATGATGTGCAGAGGAGAGAAAGCTACATTGGGGTATGTGCACATCAAAACCAAGCCAATCCTACCACCTTTGCCAAATTCCAGTGACCCTCCACCAAGAGTCAACAGTAGCTTCCGCTGCTCCTCACCCGGGGATAGCAATTCGTGCCCGACCAATATGGACAATGAGGTCTTCAATCAATCTGCAAAAGCCCTGAGGCAGCTCCAGCCAGTAAAAAAAGGAGAGAAGTTCAGAAACCTGCAGCATTGGAGTTTATGTCAGTCCACCCAATCCTGTTCAAGTCCAATAAGGACAGGAAACAAATAGGGTGGCACAGACACTATCGCTGGTTTAGTACCCAAGGCCTAGGATAGTGCTCTGGGACACCATAACAGCTGGTGGAATTTAAAACTAAATGAATAAATCTAGAATTGAAAGCTAATCTCAAGTGATGGTAACCATGGAACTATGCTCAATCGTGAAAAAGAATAACCTGGTTCATCAGCCTTCCTCAATGGAAGGAAATCTGCAATCCTTACTCAATCTGGCCTACGTACAATTTTAGACCCACTGTGATACGATCAATTGTCAACTGTCCCCTCAAACGGTCTGAGTAAGTCACTCATTTCAAGGGCAGAAAATGCTGGCTTTGCTAGAAACACACACACACACACACACACACACACACACACACACACACACACAAAGAAATGGTAAAGTAACAGTAAAATGACTGTGCGCTGGCTGAAAGAGAGCCAACTTGTCCTACAAGTGTTCCAAATATCAAATGCTGCAGTGATCTGAATTAAACCAACTAAATCAGACTTCCATCAGGTCTCCTTCAGTCTCATCTATTCTAGGGAAATCATTGAAAGAAGGGGGGATCCAAATGTTGATAGAACCCCCAGCATCCACGATGGGGAAGATTACGGGAATACAGCTCTTCACATCAGGATTTTTAAATAAAAAAAACTTTGAAAACTGAAACAAATCTGAAAGACTTGATGTGTAATTCAGAGTCCCAGGTTACACTTCCAATGGGGCAGTTCCTGCACTGCATGCTTTGGACACTGAGCAAAGAGAAAACGGTCTCTTGAGACACACACTGGCACCCCACTGCATTTGGTAGTCAGTTGTTTAACCACAACAACAAAAAAAAAAGTTGCTGGAAAAGCTCAGCAGGTCTGGCAGCATCTGTGGAGGAGAAAACAGTTAACGTTTCGGGTCCGGTGACCCTTCCTCAGTTGTTTAACCACTTTTCCCTTGATATACCCCACGTCACTGAGTTTCCAAAAATAAATTTTGCCATTAACAGGAAAACAGAAACGCTCTGTGCTTGCAACCATCCTTCAGAAAAGAAAGGCATGGAAGTTTAAAAAAGTAACTACAACACAGCCTCAATGTTTGAAATCCTATGTCCTAGTGACTCTCAGTAATGAAACTGAAAATATTGATTCTTTCCCAAAAAATCTTCCCCTCTTGAAGATAGCAACTTAAAATGGTTTCAATCAGTGTTTCATAAATAGATGTCTTGCCATGCATGGCCAGAGACTACTGGCAGATACAAACCCCAAATGTATCCTTACCTCAATATCGTCACAAGAACTTTGCAGGAGTCACCAGACAGATACACCGAAGAGCAGCCTTGGGCTAATTTCCCATTTTGTCAGAGAACAGACTACACAAGCTTTTAAAAACCGCTTGGGATCTTCCAAGATCACCACGTACCAGGCGTTGTGGATTGTCATCACTGATTTTAACCTTCAATTGGAGGAGCGGGGGTGTCTCACTCGTCTCCGCAGCCACAGGAATAATGGCTACAATGAATATGCTACACTGACTCAAGTCCCTTGGAAAAAAGATAGCGGTCAGATGCACAGAAAGGACGCAGCCAAAAGCCCAAACAAAATGAGTCAGGACGAGATCCACTTGAATATGGCTTTCTCCTTTTGCTCAAGAGTATGAAAACAGAACTGGAATAGATTAACTGAGGCTTGGAAGATGACAAAACAGATCAAATTTTGGATCATAATCCATTTCTTCTTGAGAAGCACTGTACATGAGCAAGTCTTCATTTCCCAACGATGCAGCACAAGTTGATACAGAATTGTACATCCCCAATGACTCATGGTAATAAATCTGAAAATATTTAGTTTCTTCTCAAACTTTTATGCCCTCCTGAAGGAAGGTCAATTAAGAACCATGGTTCCTCCAGAGCTTTTGAAGCAAGGTCATTTCCATTCAAGGCCAGTGTTAGCAGATATTGTGTTTGTCTGTGTCTGCTGTACATAGAAGCTTTAAGGCAGGGTTAGATTTTTCACTCGTGGAGTTATATCGATAGTTCAGAGTTTTGCTTACCTGTGTCAAGAAATTGCTTGTAATAAACAGTAGTCAACTACAGGAACGTGGTCAGTGTTTTGTGCTAATTGAATTTCAAACTAGTAAATTGTGTACTTCGGTTAATTTATCAACTTGTATGGTGACAGTAGTGCAGCTCAGGAATCAGACACTTTCCTCAAATGGGTAGTAACGCAGTAAAGGACGAGAGTCCACTTCCTACAAAAACCATGTGTATTCTCAGGGCTATTCAGAAGCAACAGTTCCTGGAGCTAAACCAAAACCTGGGAAATTCAATTAGCTTTTACCGAATAGGAGGGAGACTTTTCAGAGAAGACCAAACTAATACAAGAAAGGGCTTTTATTCAAGTTGTGTCAACAATGTAACTGGGTAAAAAAAAAAAATGCAATACCAAGACGGCAGAAGACTTTAAAAAAGTCCCAACTAATTATTCCAGTTTAGAACAAACAGAATGCTGGAGACATTCAGTAGGTCTGGCAGTAGCTGCCCTGGCGGTGGTGGGCTGGTTTGGGAGGCTTGGAGAGTGAGGGAGAAAAAGACTAAACGAACAGTCCAGTACAACAACTTTTTAGAGCTGAAAGGCGCAGAACATTTTTTAAATACTTCTGTCAGAGGCAAAGGAGGACCAAGGCAGCAGATACTTGAGACTTTTAAGTGACTCTTGGATAGGCAAGTGGATGACAGTATAATGTAGGGTATGCAGGGCAGTTTGATCTTAGTAGAATAATAGTTCGGCACAACATTATGGGCCGAAGGGCCTGTACTGTTCTATGTTCTATGTTGTAGGTGGTGTAGATGCACTGTTCTTGCTCCTCCACTGCCTGTCAAAAGGATAAAACACCACATTTCAGTTCTGAAGAAGTGTCATACCAGACTTGGTGTTAACATACTCTTCCTGCACAGGCACTGCCAGACCTGCTGATTTTCTCCAACATTCTAAATGCTGGAAATCTGAAACCGTTCAGTATTTTACTTTTATTCCCATTTAGAATATCACCAAGGGATTTGTCGATTTGCAATAAGTGAATAGAAACTTTTTTTTTTGCAATTCAAAGGCAAATAAACTGCTGCAATTTTAACAGAGCTCTCCTAGGTCTCAAAAATCACATTAAATATTTTCCAACCTCATTCCTGGTCACCATACTTCAAATCTCATGGGATTCTATCTTCATGCAATAGAATCAGCATTTCCAGTTAACAATTAAATAGCTATATCATCAAATATTACACTTGTCACTCAAATCACAGCATTGGATATTGGATACATGAAGACGTAGTTTCTAACAGGGTAACTCTGTAACCAGAGAACACATCCAAGATGATTATAGCAAACTACAAGGGGGATTGTTTTTAAAAATGTAATACAGCTGGTTAAGATTGGGAATATCTAAAAGGCTGTGAAAGCAGACTTAAAGGTAGCTTTCAACAGCTATTAACGAATGAATAAATAATCAAAAAGGAAAAGTTTACGGAAAAGTTCAAGTGTAGTGTGGTGCAAGTGGGCCAAATTGGATTGATCAAAGAGGCAGTACAGGAATTTTGGACTAAAAAGCCGCCTTTTAGTGCAACATGATTATGTAAATATGCAATATTTTACCTTTGCTATTTTTACATCATCTTTCTTTTTTGCACCTTGGAGAGATTCATAATGATGTCTTGCACTGTCATAGTCAACAAGCTTCCTCCCACGCTTCGCAATACGAGTCTACAAGAGAAATTCTTATGTTTAAACTGCAGATTCACAACAGATATTGCACCTCTAAAGACGAATGCACACAGTCTTTTTTTCTTGGCATCTTAAGTAAAAAGCTATTGTCAAATATCAAAGCTGGTAAATGCCTAATTCCTTGATGGGAGAGATGTTAAATGATTGTATCATGTCAGTTTACTGAGGATAAAGAAATGGAGGCTAGAGAACTCAGGGAAATAAATATTTATGTTTAGGAAATCAGTTCACGTTACAGTAGTAGTAGTGCTGGAAG